TATTGACGTGTAGATAAAATACTTGGAGTCACGAGGCGATGTAATGTTGTAGTCAAATTCTTGAATACTAAACAAGAATAGTTACTTAGTCGTTTTAGCAATTTGGTGTATAGAATAGTACACCAGATAGACGAAGTACAAGATTGATACAAAAGTGTGAAAAGATATAATTAACAACAATTATCTCACCCAATGTGATCAAGCAGTTGAGTTTTACAGATAGATCACAATTTGTTTTGGAAAAGAAAATAGTAAATAGTGAACAAATGAACAACTCTACCAAAGAAAATTTTGGTGGAAATTTATGAAAGAGAAGGATCGTTAGTTTATTTTACTACTATGGATATATAAATATTTATTTATCAATCTGAGTATAGCTCAAGCGTATAAGATATCTATTATTATTCTTCGGATTGATGGTTCAATATTTTCATCCCCAAATTTGTTGAACTCAAAAAATAAAAATGAACATTAAGGTTAATTAAAGAATATTTATTTAGTTATTATTCTTATAAAAAATGAACTTTGTCATTGGAAATTAGTCAGGCCGCGAACTTCGACGGAAATTACCCAAGTGGCGTTTTGGACCCATAATATAGTATCAATTAAATCACGGCCGATAAATTGAAATGGGCTGGATACAATATGGGCCGATTAATTCACTCGTTACAGGTTCTGGTTGGATTGGGCCAACTTTTTTTTTTTTCACTTATACGTCCTCTGGTTTAAGGCCCCAGAATATTCCGTTTTCTGTTTTAAAAAGCAATATTTGTTTCCTCATAATTCTTTTTAGTATTTCTTCACCATTTAAAATATATATATATATATATATATGTGGATTTGTAGTTAAATATTCAGAAATAGGAACTACATTTTCTTTTTTCAGTTTTCAAATCTTTTAGTTAGATTTTGAAAATTTTAAAATAAAATAGGTAACAAAACAAACAAATAAATGAGTGAAAATAGTATTTATAAATTTAATTTTAAAAATTGAAAATCAAATAAACGAAATGGTTACTGATTAGAATGACATGATAATTTTTTTTAAGTGTAACATGTGTGGAGATCAAGTTATGCTCGTTTTGACGAGTGAAACCATAACATTATGAAAATTTATGAGAGAGAAAACACACGAATATATTTTAGAACGAAAACATTTATATTTAATGAAACGTAGAGCCCGTACAGGCATGGTTTTGTTTGGGTGTGAGGAAAGGTTGTGGTGGGTACAAATTAAGCCCAAACTTGCTCTTCTTACACGTTCTGCACATGCTTCTTTTTCCCTCCTTTTTTTTTAATATAATATTTGCAAGTGGGAGAAACTCACGTTTTTTTATGGCTGTAAATATCAAAATCTGTTGAATTATGTTCAAGTTGGCTCAGATRCCTCTTTCTCCTACTTTTATACCATTATATATGTTACAACAATTTCCCTGTATTACAAACTATTGGTTTGTTTGGTAATGTTTGCATGCATTTTTCGTCTCTCGTCTCTCGTTTTTCTATTTTGTTTTTTTAGCTTTTATTTTATATTTTTAATAAATAAAAATAATAATGCATTTGATAATTATTTATCTTTTCTTTCTTTTATTAAATAAGAAGAAAGAAGCGTGCTCGGTAATAAATTTTTGTTTCTTGTTCTAAGAAATTCTAAATTATAAAAAAAATCATTGTTTTTTTCTTATTTCTAAAATTTCTATCTAATTTAGAAATGTTTTTTTTAAATACGCTTAATCTATCATTTTTTTCATTTATGTAGTTAATTTTTGTGAAAACTGATTAAAAATATAAATGCAAACATTCATCTCACATGAATAAAAGGGTTCAACCACAATATTAGCCTCTCAATTCATATTTTCTATATTACCATAAATTAATTATATTTTATATTGTCAAAATGAACATAGTTCAATGATAATTGACATATATCTCCAACCAAAAGGTTACGAGTTTGATTCCTCATACTCACATGTTGAACTTTAAAAAAAAAAATTATACATTACATTGAAGTACACAATTTAATCTCTCAACTTTAGTATTGTGCCTAATAGTTTTTTAAACTTTGAAAAGTGAATTTATAGGTCTCACTCACTCATTATTTTTAAAAAACTCACACATCTATTAGACACAAAATTTAGAACCTTAACCTTTTAAATTTGTGTCTAATAGATCCAGGAATTTTTAAAAAAATGTCTAATTAATTTGAGATCTAAAAAAGAAGAAAGATGCTTTAACCAGCTAAGCTCATGTTGGCAATTCAACTTCAGATATACACATATTTCTTTTTAATACAACATATAAGGTAGAAATTCGAACTTACAAACCTTTAATTAGAGATATTGTCGTAACCAATTAAGTTAATAGCGATTCAGCTTCTGAATATTGATGGAGCATAGGATAGGGATACATTGACCTTGTTGGACATGAATTCGTGGGTTCCATTTGGGTAAAGGTATTTTTCCTCATTTAATGAAAATGAAACAAACCCTTTCTAAACCAATAACAAATAACATTTCCAAATTAGGACACACATATAATTGCCTATTCAATGACATAAAATTCTGACACCAATAAGTTTATTCCCTCGTGGAATGTTTATTTTTAATTTTTGGTGTTTATGAATAAGTATTATATAGTAATTATTAATAAAATTTTGATAATTTTTTAATATTTTAAAATTTGGAAAAATATTTAGTTTCCTTCATTTTTCTGTCCTATTTTTGAAAATTGTTACTGCCTATTGCATTTGAATTTTGGACCAGCTTGTGTCGGCAACAGTGAACGATGATCTGCAACTCACTTCGTTTTTCCTTTTTTCCATCTTCTGTTTCCACGTCATCTTTACTTTTCAATTTCTTTTT